CATCGCTCCAACAACCTCTGAAGAACGCGAACATGGTTCAAAAGCTCTACGTGACTTACAATGATGTAAGTCGGCAACTCTGCGCCTAATCCGTCCTTTCGGTTTTTTCTCTTTTTTCCCTCTTCTTCAACGTCACCCTCCCGCCCGTGCGCACATGGCCGGCCGTTGCGGCCGCTCGTGCCACGATGTACGGGCGCTCCGACGTCATGCAGCATATCGCAAGGGTGGCGGGGGGTGCTTCCTCCGCGGACCAAGACGACCGCTCCGCCGCCTCTTGAACAACTCCGGCGCGGGTAGCATAATAATATGTTCTAACCTGCGACTTTCTCCCTCCCCTTAGGTGCACAAGCTGTGCCAGGAGTCCGCGCCGCGGATCCTGTCCGACTTCAACCCGCAGCTCATGATCGCCATCGGCGGCGGCGGCTACGTTCCCGCGCGGATCCTGCGCTCGTTCCTCAAGACGCCCGGCAGCCCCAACATCCCGATCCAGGCCATCGGCCTGTCGCTGTACGAGCAGCTGTCCACGGACCGCGTCGAGGAGGCCCCCGGAACCAAGGTCACGCGCACCCAGTGGCTCGACCTGTCCGCCCTGGGCGAGATGAGCAACCTGCTCGGCAAGCGCGTCCTCATCGTCGACGAGGTCGACGACACCCGCACCACGCTCGAGTACGCCGTCAAGGAGCTCGAGAAGGACGTCAATGCGGCCGCCGTTAAGGCCGGATACACGGGCGAGAAGACGAAGTTTAGCATATTTGTCCTTCATGTGGGTGACTCGAGACTTGAGCTGGGACTTGAGAGGCTGTCGATGATTCGACTAACACAAGCCCGCGACCTAGAACAAGGACAAGGCAAAGAAGGGCACCCTGCCCCAAGATATGCTGGACCAGAACAGGTATTTCGCCGCCAGGACCGTCGAGGACCTGTGGATCTGCTACCCGTGGGAGGCCATGGACATCGACGAGCACGACAAGCTCGCCAGCGAGCAGAATAAACAATAAAAGGAGGATCGTTGCATAATTACCGCCCAGAAGACACGGTCCTGGGCTGAGGGGTTGCTAAGCGGACCAGTGGCCCCTCGGGATACTGGGCTACACGAGATGTAGGACCATGGTCCCTAGGGGTGGAGCTTTGAACACGGGGCGACTGTGCTCCGAGATCGTCTATAACGCGATGCAGGATATATGGATTGGGCTCGGCAGCTCAAATCTGGTTTTCGACTTGCAAAGAGCCCCTGCCTCTGGAGGATGTTGAGTTTGGGAGTCGGCAAGTGGTCTAAAGGCCATCAACCAAGCTCTTGGATATTCAACTCCTTCGGGCCTTGGATGGCAGGATATCTTTTTCGAACCCCTATAAATCGACGATTCACGACTAAATAGTATAAATTACACAATACCCCGTTGTCGCCTTTCCGTATATTGTTCATACTTGGCTCGACCGTTGTGGTACTTCTGTCTAGATGAATAGACGCTATTTGTCCCTCGTTCCCCGTAAACGTGCGCATCTTGACCAGCAAGAGGATCGCGGGAGCCAGTGCCCATAGGTAGACGAGATCAGCCCCAGGCTCCAGGGAAGTCGACGGACAGCACTACGGCGACACCACTGTAGTGGCACGAGGTTGGACGGGGCACCTAGTTCTTTTATAATCTAATGGCTCACCCGCCAGACGTCCCTTCTAATCTATGCTTCTCCTTCAACCTCTTCTCCTGCTTCATAAACTCCCTGATGCCGACAGGGACGTTCTGGTACAGCCTATCGTCCCAGAGATCTTTGGCGATCTTGGGCGACTCCTCAGCGGGCGCCCAGTTCGTGTCCGACCCGCCCCCGTCGTCGTCCATGCTGATGGCGCCAGACATGTCGGGCTTTACCTCCTCGACCGCCGTGCTGCTGCTGCGGGTGCCGCTTCCTTCGCCCGCCGCATGCTGCTGCTGCTTCT